TGATAATCACAATACTTGGTATTTTGATAATCAAAATACCAAGTATTCTGATTATCAGAATACTAGTCAATTCAAGACCTATACTCTGCGCAGTAAACTATAATACATGCGCTGTCACTGCCATCGACGTTTTAACACTAACAGTCAGTTTATTTGATTTATGCACTGGTAAAAATAGAATTCAACTAATATTTATTATATTAGCTTGAAAAAAATTTATTATTACACTTTTAATTTTAATTTTAATTTGTTTTGTTAGCTTTATAAGTCAATTGATTTGTGCCAGTAAAGTGAGGTTATAAACATCCAATAGTCTGTTATATTGGTATACTGATAATCAGTATACCTAGGTATTGTGATAATCAGTATACTTATTTTGATAATCAAAATACCACGTATTCTTAGTAGCACAATACCAAGTATTCTGATTATCAAAATAAATATCCTTAGTTGCAAAATACTTTTTTCTCAGTGCAGTTTTCCGTTGATCACCTTTACAAAAACTCTTACTGTCTAGTAAACTTCAATTTATCGAACTTTGCTTTTGCAACAATGATTTCACAATTAATTTTGCTTGTAATTATTTCGATCGTATCTTCGCAATTGGTAAACATCGTCAAACATATATGAAAAAATCGCGTAATGAAATCATATACTAAAAAATTGGTAATGTTACAGCTTCATCATGCGATGACACCTGAAGAACTTCACAAGATATTTTCTGTTAAAAGTGTTACTGAAGGTAATTATTGATTGACAAACAAAGAATGTAACTTAGAAGAATAATAAAACAATTACCGTTGTACTATTCCAGTGCCTCATTATGATGTCGTGCCAATTTTTATTACAAAACCTCGAAATCGACGAAATGTTAATTCAATTTTGATGCAAAAACCTTTCGTAGATGATTTAAGAATATGGTTGGATGCTACGGACGGTACTTTGGCCAGCGTGTACGTGGATGTAAGTATACTTAACAAATATCTACAAACAAAGAGATTTATATGTGTCATTTTTCAGTTAACTAAAAATCTTACACTTTACGAGAATATAAAGCACGCTGCTACCGTTGTTGTTAATGAGACTCTTTATGGAAATCATTCTGTCGTAGGATAATTTCATGGTTTGTTTAATTTTTAAATTTTGACCAAGACTAAATTTAATTCGTTGCGTTATGTCTTATACCAGAAAGGTTTTATTGGTAATCAAAACATCCAACCACACAGTAAAAAATTTTTCTTCAAATTTAACACAAAAATTTGTGTTGATAACTTTTTTTACACAATTTGTGTTGAATCAACACTCTATTGTGTTGAATCAACATACTAAAATGTTAAATTCTACACACTAAAATGTTAAATTCTACACAAACATTTTTACACTTTAGATAATGACGAAAAATTTTTTACTGTGCAATACCACCCCATTTAATGGATCATGCGAGAAGACATCGAAGATCACTGAACAAATCACCTGATCATGAATCCGATGATCATGGAATGTATCATATTATTTATGAGATACCACAATTTCAGAAAAAAATGCCTTCTTGTGAGTACAAAGTGAAAAAAATTTCTGTTAATTTTAATGATAATCATCTACAATTTAATTAATATATACTTTGATAACTATTTTTTGTGCTTAATTTTGTGATTTAGTACAACTAAAAGAAGCGCTTACATCAAAACGGACATATAACCGAGAAATACATGTCCCAGAGACTATTTATCCAGAAATCCTAGTAATCGTCGATTACAGTATGAATTCGTTTATGCATGCACAAACTCTACAGGACAAAATTATATATTTATTAGCATTTTGGAACGGAGTCGATATGAGATACCGCAATTTAGTTAATCCAAAAATTAGGTTGAACATTGCTCGTATTGTTTTTGCAAAGGTATTCATACATTTGACGTTATAAACAAAAACGTATTGTAACGTTTAATTTTGAGAAATCGCAAAAAAAACTACAAAAAAAAAATTTTTTCAAATGTGGTTTTTTTGGAATAACTTTTAAACGGCTTTAGCGATCAATTGCAAAAACTAATCAGCTCTCAACATCAAAAAACCACGTCGATCGCCACCGGTCCGGTCAAAATCGGTTGATTTGTTCGTGAGTTATCGTTGACGAAAGAAAACCGAAAAAAGTGTTTTTTCGGAATTACTCCGAAATATTTCGTTCTATCAAATTAAACTTGAAGATTCTTTATGAAGCTTAAAAAACTGCGTCGAATGCCACCAACCACGTAAAAATCGGTCCATTCATTCAAAAGTTATTGCGATTTTAAAATTCAAAAAATAGTGTTTTATCAAACATCTATCAAACTTTTGAGCTCGAAGAGCTCAAAAACATACAAAAGCTATTATTTAGAGCTTGGAGAGCTCAAAATAACACACAAATTGTATTTATGAGCTCGAAGAGCTCAAAAACGTCATAAGTGGAATTTCAAGCGTTTAGGTATAGAATTGGCGGGAAGTTGCAGGGATGGCCTTTAGGGTCATTCGTTTTCCTAATCTTTTACTTTTGTTCTTGCTCGGTTTCAACAAAGACTTAAGTATTTGTTTAATTTCTTAATTATGTTTTTATTCACCATTAATTCAAATACGCGAATATACAAACCACAGATTGCTGGATTTCTGAACATTTTTTACCCAAATTGTTCAAGAACTGAGGTGCAGTCCGGTATTAAATCGATCACTTTTCATGTTTTGATGTCATTTTACAGATATGATTTGTGCTAGTTTGATTATAATTCCCAAAATCCTGGTTGTGATTCCATTGGACTAGCTTGGCCTTCTGGAGCATGTGACATTCATAACAGAACTATGGACAAAGTTGATTTTATACAAAATTTTGGTAATTTCGCGGGTGTTAAAATAGGTGCACATGAATTAGGACACTTGTAAGTAAATTGAACAATGGCTTTGGTCGATTAATATGGGGTAATCCATAAAACGAAATTGTATCAATGTCGACGACATTCCAGATTGGGCGTGAATCATGATAACATAACTGACAATGGATGTAGAGATGGAGATGGTTACATCATGTCTACCTCTAATAAATATACAGGTCATGGTTTTAATTGTTCAAGATGTTCCTTACAAGAAATGAATAGATTTATCAGGTAAATTTATAATTTTACTCACTTTTCTTCCTAAACTTTTCTCGTTTGTTACGTAATAGATGACTGAAATGTAATTTTATTGTAGGAGTGAAGCTGCAACTTGCTTGAAACAAGAATCTTCGCCAAAAGGCAAACCTTTGTTCCGTTTTTTGCCGGAAAAGCTGATGAATATACATGAACAATGTGATGTTAACGAATATGGAAGCAGAAATTTAATTTCGAGATGAGTTGTAACCGAGTATACTGTACAAATGGTAAGTTAGGGGAATGGATTGAATCTGCTGAAGGTACTCAATGTGCCTATAATAAAATATGCCTCTATGGACAGTGCATTTCAGAAGATTCATTACATAATCTACCGATTGGATATAATACATAGGTCAGTCTTTTCTTTAAAAACAATTATAACAAATATTCAAACATTTTAATTAACTCTGTAATCTGTTGCTTTTTAAAGCGTGTTACTATTTATGTCAAGAAATTAAATCAATACCCTATTATTTTAAGAGTTTTGCTTAAATCTCATTGTACCTAAATATTTATGAGGACAAAACTCTAGTACTAATTTATTTCCTAAAGTTGTGAAAATATATCACACAATTCATATTATTATTTTATAAAGTTAAGCGTTTTAAACATTCTATAATTTATATGCAATTATTGCGTAATGATAGATATGAAATGACCGCAAATACTTGTCATAAAAAAAGTGTGTGCGTGTAACCTTTACGCGCGATTGAAGTAAAACTTCTTTGGCGTTGACGGCACTGATCACTGATATGATTAAATTTTACCTTGAATAATAAATATCGCATTATAATGTAGTTATATTTGGCTTCCCGCCTTTATTAATCCCGCCAAAATTTCTCAGCAAAAATTTCTCACAATTATTTACAATTAAGTAAAATTATTTCTAAAAAAAAACATTAATATGGCCCTTTTATCATGGTTTTTGTGTGAAAAAATATTGTATAAGAAATTATTGCTGACAATTTTTGTCGCTAGAAAATTTTGCATGAGAAAAAAGAGACGGTCACCGATATTTTGCATACTAATGTCAAGATAATTTAATAGAGATTAATTTGACACTTTTCAAAAATTGATTTAGTTTACTAGAAACGGAAAAAAACCTCAAAATAGGTCAAAAAATTATCCTGTCCGTCATGTATGAAACTCTGAAAACACTATAACTTTTGCGGAAAAATGCATCAATTAAGTTAAATTTTTTTTTTTAATTCTTTAGGATAATTGTAGGTCACCGAATGCGAATGGTTAGGTAATTCAGTATCATTCATGTAGAATTAACGAAATAAAAAAGCCAGACTGTATATCTATAAATATATCCATGTAAAATTTACATGGATGTTGATATATCTATACAAATTATGTAAATTTGTTCCACTAGGGGCGCCTGTGCATTACTTTCCGAGTACAGCTGTTTTTTCGGCAACTAATTTTGAACGACTTGTTTTTTTTTTTTTTTTTAATATTTCATAATTAAATGAGCATTATGAGTCGTGCACTTCTGGATTTTTCAAATTGAATTTTATAGAATGTCGCAATCGTCAGAAAATTTATTAATAATTTATTTATTACAAAAGTAATAAATAAATAAGTATATTCAGAGATTTTCAAAAAACTTTGCAATTTAAAATAATTTTTTTAAAACTATTGAATTTTTATTCACTCTGCTACTCACACTTGACCTGTTTTAAAATATTGGAAATGAATAATCCTAATTGATTATGATATTTGCCACTAGCTGGCGCATAAGTCAAGAAGCGTGGAGTATATGACATTTACTTACGACCAATCCAAATTATTATTTTTGAATAGCGGAAACTACGTAAACTATAGTAAGCGTTACTTCCGTCAGAAAAAAAATCTGAGTTACTCCCTAGTCGCGCCTAAAGAAGTTTTACTTCAAAAATTCCGGCTGTTTATCAAGGGATAAATTATTATTGTAAGCAAAAAAGTCTATCATATTAATTTAGTGAGCAACGATATTTTGATTTCTGTTACTGTAAACAATTTGGAAACTCCAGCTATTACGTGACTTTACCTGCGGAAACATGTTTTGTTAGTTCAATAAGTGACCATGGATCTACAGACTCGGTAGAAGTCTGGCGCCAAGTACCGTTCAAACGCCAGCCTACCAAGTACTATACCGTAAGCAGAGCCTGATTTTAGGGTTAGAAAATTTTATATATTTATTATAATAATTATATTAAAAGTTATTCTTTTAATAATAGATTACATCTTAATAAACTGTTAATCATTTACTTTCTACATACTTTTTAATGAATTCTATTTTTAATTAATAAATTTAAGCAGCACAAATTATAGCAACGTAATTTTTTAGTTTTGGAACTTTTTTCGGTGCAAAATCTGATATCCATAGACTATAAAAAATGCTTATGTGCAGTAATTTCATAGGTAGATCGGAAACTCGAGTCTAAAATTGAGTTTTAACAGTTTCTATTTTTACACACTAGAGTGCGACGCGAGAAATTTTACATACACTGTAGTAACTGGATAAGTAAACTTTAAGCGCCAAGTTTTAGAATGCCAGACGTAACTATGAAATTATCTGTTTCGATCATTAAGGGCCAGATTTTTCTATACAGGATTAAAATTATTATATTTCATAAACAATATATTTATAATAATAATTTAAAGATGTGTCCACGTTCATAAGACTCATTTAAATAACATTGGCACTTTGCAAAAAGATGTGAAATCCGAACAAAAACAGTTTCACTGTAAAAAACCGCGCCAAGTCCACGTTCATAAGACTTCGAAAAAAATTAATCGTACAAAAAAATATGAAATCAAAGTTAGTAGAAAATTTAAAACTTAATGAAAATCTTTTTAAACGTACCTGGCGTGCGTCATTGAGAACCCCAAATTTTTAGAACTTAAGATATTAACGTTTTCTATATGTTTGTGCACATGAAATTAAATATCGCTCACTTTTTCAATATTATCTAACACAATAATAACTGAGCTGGAATAAATAATTCAAGATTAAGTACACACGTGAATAAAAATGATGAAAAAGAAATTTTTTCACTCTAGTGAAAGATCAATTTTTATTTACAAAAAAAAATTTATTAGCAAAAAAATACATAATAATTACTTTATATTTTTGAAGTGATTGCTTCATTATTAAGAAAATAAACTTTTTTTATTATTATGTGCGTCGTTCCCATAATATTATAGGAACCATTACTATAATATTATAGGAACCATTCCTATAATATTATAGGAACCATTCCCATAATATATTGAAGCTATTCCATTATTGTATAGGAACGTTTCCAATAAATTATGGGTATGGTTCCCATAATGAGTATAGGATTAATGCCTATAATGATAATTTTATTATAGGATCCATTCACATAATTGTTGGAAAGATTCCTATAAATTTCTCTCCGTGTATACATTTGAAGTGCACAATCATAAAAATCTACTTTAATTCAGTTATTTAATTTCAGTTCAAAGAAAATCTTTTTGAGGAATGTAAAAATATGGTAAACTTTCAACTAAATCAAACTTGTAAAATTATTCAAGAAGTTAAGTAAACATTGAGTGCTCTACATACATTTATATTTATATACGTATACGTAATAGACACATAAATCGATTAAATGTGAATTACAATTCACAGAATTGCTCGAACAACCACCTGTTGATGCTCTAACCATCAGTGTAGGGCTAAATGTTGAAGAAGGGTGGCTGTACATCGTAAATTTCTTGCACCACATTGCTCGTGTACATCAATAAATTTAAGCTAAGCATGGATGATCATTTCTGTTATAGTGTACAATAATTTTTTTTTTTTCAGAATTAAAAATTTTTGTAATCGATTTTTATGATTTATTGTGAACAAAGAAAAGTAGTCAATATCTCATAGAGGAAAGTACCTCGGGGCCAAGCTTGCCCGAACTATGTAGAACTTTGGGCCAAGCTTGTAAGCCAGGCTTGGCTCAGTCTTGGTAGAAGTCTGAAATGATAACGATGAGCCAAGCTTGGTTACCAGGACTGGCCCATGCCTGGTTACCAGGATTGGGCCACAGTTAATTTTCAAGTCTGGCCCATGCCTGATTACCAGGACTGGGCCATAGTTAATTTTCAAGTCTGGCCCATGCCATTTGATAAAAGATGATAAAAAAAGAATTTTTTGAGTGTTATTTTTTTATTTTATTTTTTAAGGGGGTATTCTGGTCTAGAAGCCTAAATTTTAGGCATTTTTCAAACTAACATAAAAAAAAAATGAAAAACATTTTTATAATCCATTTTTTTATATGATGTTTATTGACATTTCAAGAATATAAAAAAAAATTAAAAAAAAAAAAAAATGATAAATTTGACAAATTACAGGGCGGTGAAGTGGGGGCTACAAAAAAAACGGTGCACTCTGGTTGACATGATTCCAGCCCTTGTAGTGATATGAAACAAAAAAATTTGAGAAATTCTCAATCTGTAAAGATGTCGCTATCGCGTTGACTATAGTAAAAAAAAAAAAAAAAAATTC